GCGGCGGCGCGCGGCCGGCCGCCGACGTCGCCCACATTCCGCGAGAGGTCAGCGCGCGCCGGTGGGCAGCCGCCGGCCGTGCGTCGCCGGCCGGACCGCGCCGGGCTTCCCGGCGGCGGCGCCGACCACGCGGCATCAGGTGCGCTGCAGCGGAGGCGGCACCCGCTCCGGCAGTGACCGGGCAGATTACGGGCCGCGCCGGCGCCGCCCATTGTCCCCGAGATGTGCGCGCCGGCAGCGGCGGCCAGAGACCGTTTTTGCCGGACACATGGTGCGCAAGGACAGGAGAAAAACAGCGCCGCGGCCGCCGCAGTAGCCGGCCACCGGCTCCTCCGGCCAGATTCCATTAAAAACTATGACCGGGCAGTTTGGCGGCCGGCGCGTCGGCCGTGCGCCGCAGAGCGGGTCAGCCGCGGCGCGGCGCAGGTCAGGGCGCGCCAACCCGGCCGGACAAGAGGCCACGGTCCGACGCGCCTCTCGGAGCGGCACCGGCCCGCTGAGGCGACGACGTGACAGAAACGAGCCCGCTCGGTAAATTTGGGGTTGGCTCGGACGCGAGCGCAATTTATGGACGGCACCTTATTCCCTTTGGATGGGGTGGGAAGAACCATGCGGTGTGGTGGCAGGGGTAAATGATGGGCCACCAGTAATGTGCCAACCGAGGGCAGTTCAGAAAGTGGAGGCACCGCGGGCGGCGCGCCGCTCGGAGTGGCCGGCGCTGCCCACTGCCCAGAGAACCCAGTCAGAGCCGGGACCGGGCGGCAGTTCCATCAGGGTAAAGCACCGCTCCCCGCTGGACACTGCCGACGGCGCTGCGTATTTTCAGTGGCTCATGAAGGTTCCGTAATTGAATGACAAGTAATTATTGGAGTGTTTACAATGGCACGAACCAGGTGGGGTTCCAGCGGGGCATATACCACCCGGTGGGTGATGACTCAGGGAGCCGTGTTTATATCTATAAAACAATTTTTATCCAACTCCGTTTCATAAGTTACATTGTGAATGAAAAATAAGAGGTAGGTACTTGAAAATAGCCTGAAATGTGAAGAGTTCAATATAGGTATTTTTCCAACCTATAATAAATTAAGCAGAAGTTTTTGGTGAAGTCAGCATGCATGGCCTTTGCGGCGGCACATGTCCGTTCCAAGCAACACGCTAAAAAGCACACGACCAAGTACAGGGTTCAGGAAAGCTGCCATGGGTGCTCTATAAAGCAGCAGAGATAGCCATCGTACAAGAGCGGCTGCGGAGGGCACAGCACGCACAGCAGTAGTCGGGCCTCTTACCCGGCGAGGCCGTTAGGCTGCCGACGTGGAACACGACCCGTGCCGGCCGCCCACTTTACAGGCACTGTCCGTTAATGTTTATTAGCGTGTTTGGTGAGCGGCCACGTGCTGGAGCCGACCATGAGCCGCGCCTTCCCCGACTGCAGCGGCTCACCTCTGACCCCGGCCGGGGCGCGTGTAAACAACCATTGACCCCGCCCGGCCGACGGGCCGGCACTGAGACCGCTGCGCCGCCCGTCCCCGCTCAATCGGCCCGTGTTGCCATGGAGGTCAGCCCGAGTCGGACGGACATAAATTGAGGAATAATTCCAGCCGGCACGGCGCACGGGATGGCCAACAAAAAACGGCGGCATTCCAAAATGGTGCGGCCGGGCGCGAGAGGGCCGGCCGCGCCGACGGAGTCGGGTGGAGCGGCTTCACTGCGAAGGGCGGACCGGCGAGGCGGAGCACGAGTGTGCCCTGCCGTCCAGAGGCGATGACGTCGGAATATTTGGAATGTACGGATCTGGCTGTGCCTGACCTTTGCACTTTCACAAACATTAATCACGGAAAACGATGTTCCGTTAAAACAGCATAGTTCTTAAAATAATAGGCAGTTTACACCAGCAGTTGACTGATGCTCGACCGAGAGAGCGATGGTGCCGGTGTCGCAACACCAAAGTGTAAATGTGCTGCTCCTGCCTCCTGGTAGAAAGGTGGCTCTATACTGCGGCACATAACATCTGTGCTCGCTTTCTCGCGGGTCAAAAGGTCACGAAGACCGTTACAGTTATTAGTTCACTTCTCATTCTGACACTCGGCCGCCCGACAAGTGACAGTGGGACACTTTCAGCTCTGCCCGCCGTCCGCGAGAAAACGAGACCACAACGCCGAACAGAAACCTAACACCTGAGCCGCCGGTGACTGCGACTCGACACAGGAAGGCATCCCGGGCGGCGGCTGCGGCCGCGAGCGAGCCGATCGGTCGCCCGCGGCCGACCAAACCGCGGATTAAGCGGCCCAACAGGAAGAGCGAGCGGCGAGCCGACCGTAAACGTTTTCGCCTTGGAGAGGTGACAGCGGCCGGGGTAATCGCCGCCCGCGAGACACGCGCTTCCGAGCGATATATCACGGCGGCGGGCGGCCGGCCGGCCGGGCGGTGATCAATCGTCGGCAGTTCACACCGCGCGGGGGAGGGACTGCCGGCCGGGTACCGCGGCGACAAACACGGCGCACGGGGACAGCACAGCGCGGCCAGCAGCGGCGCGCCGGTGCGTCGCATTGTCTGACGGCCGCCGCGAGTGCCGCACCCCGCGCGCCGAGCGTGCGGCCCACAAAACCTTTTCCACAATAAAAAGAATCGGCAAACAAGCGGGTCGGCCGGCCGGCCATAGCCCGTCAATCAGTGACGGGGATCGGCATACCGCGCGCCGGACCGGGTCCGACCGGACGGACGGGCGGACGGTCGGACGGCCGGACGGGCGGACGGGCGGATGGGCAGACAGACGGACGGTCGGGCGGTCGGTCGGTCGGACGGACACTGCACTCGCTCAAGGAACGGCCTGGGTTACCGCACCGGCGCTGGTAGCACTAGGCCAGCGTAGTAGAGTAGTTACTGCGCCACTATTGCACTGCATTGTACTTGTAAGAAGGAGCAGCACTTGAAGTGGCAGCTAGACTGCACATGGATCGCAAGAAGTGACTCGAGCAGAGCTCGCAATGCGGAAAGCCTGTCCCCTACTCGAAAGAGACTGGGGGAGAGACCGCCCATCTCCATTGTCCGATGACATGCCTGTCAACTGCAGTGTGGCAGTGGTGAGAAAGGAGTGAAGTCCCATCATGGGTCCCAGCAACGCATCTCTTCGATGAAAGATGCCCTCCATCAAAGGATCCGATAGGGGCATAGCATAATCCTTCTCTGACACCTGGAAAGAACTATTACAAGTGAGGAGCAAAATAAAATGTTATAACAAACACAAGCTGTCTTCTCTGTAATCCGCTGTTTTGACTCCAATGCTCCAAACCACGCGGGCCTTTTCTGTTCGGCACGGGAGCCGGGCGCTGTCTGTGACCCGCACAAAGTGAGATCGATCCTCACCGGGGGCAGAGTTTTCCTCCCGGTCCACGCAGAGCGGGCGGGTCACGGCCGGCGCCGCCCCCCGCCGAATCGGTGCTGGTCCAGACAACAATAGCCGTACACCATTTACGACAATGACTGTGGCAAAGATGAGCGTTGTGCAACGGCCTGTGTCGGGAGCGGGCCGCGCCGGGCGGCGCGGGCCAGTCGGCGACGGGCATGAATATTAAATACGACCGCAGCAGATTGATAGTGCGCCCGTCCGACCGGCCGGGGAGTGTCTGTCTGTCTGTGAGTGCCTGCATGTACCGAGTGGCTGCCTGAGAGTGAAGGCCTGTCCCGAGACGTGGATGTCTGGATGTCTGTCTGTCTAAGAGTGTCTATCTGAAGGTCTGTCTATACAAGTTTCTGTTTGGGTGTGCGGTAGCTACAATACCTTGATGGGAAACCAATGATCCAGTCATCTGACTAATGCCCAGCTATGTCTGTGAACCAGCAATGTCTGTTAGCAAACCGCGACGGTGACCTAGTAATGTAAGCGGTTCCCTCAGCGACCGGCGCGGCGGCGCGGACTAGGCACCTCTGTGAGTCTAGGAGGCTCATTTTCACTGTGGACCGAATCGTTTGACATCTACCACAAAGGTCGGCAGCAATTATCATTTAATAATACTTCCCCATTTCGAGCATCAACTGGAAGGCTGGAGGAGGTGAAACTACTTCCTTGTGCTTATGATTAAACAGCTGCCAGAGGTCACATCCCAGCGTAACTGTGTTGTTTTCCCGGAACTAATAAAAAGTTTGACAATATTCTTAGGACAGTTGAAAAATGCTATAGTTGGAACGCTGAAAACTTCACAGCGAGCACTGATCAGTGCCACAAAAAGATGCAAACCAATTGAATCAGTAATCAACTTAGACACTGTAGCTGCGGCAAATGTAAATAGATGGCTGCATAGATACACAGTACGTTTGAATTAAATTCATTGTAGATTGCACGCTGCGCATTTACGTTGCATTGCCTCCCCGCCAAATCACGCAAATATGGTCATGGATTATTCGTCTATCGGTACATCAGAACAAAAATCCGGAGTAGTACGGTCACGCAAACTTTCAAACAGGATCCATTACAAGACCGTCTGAAAGCTGAATGAGTGACCTCAATGTGCACCAATCTTCCGATGGCAATCAATAAGGGAAAACAGCGACTCCGAGCTTGACAGTATGGACGAGCGCGGCACAGGTATGTGCCTTACTTTCAGGTACCTACAGCATTGACAAAATGGGAGATATTGCGTGTTATATAGCAAAATATGAATATTATAATATATGAACGGCTTTAGCGAAATGCATCAATAAACTACACGCAAATGTGATATCGTTTACCCCATAGCGACGGACCATTTTAGCTGAAGGCGATCATCGGTGGACTCTGAGACCTCCTCGATTTTATGCGCACGGAACATTCGTAAAAGACGCGCATAACAGGACTTTCACATGTCTTATTAGCATGCTGCATGCTGTTGAATCAATGGAGAAGTTACAGCAAGGCATATCAAGTAACGCCTTTTGCCTAGATGCGGTTCATGACTCACGCAAAAAGCGTGTGCGTGGGCTACATAAGCCACGAGTTCACCCCAGCACCGGCCCTCAGTCCTTACCTATCTGCTGTATCTCAGTCTCCCTCAGTATCGTCCGTACACGGCGGTCTCAGTCGTTCCTCGCTCTCTCTCACTCGCTCCCGTCACCACTCGGGACAACTGCGGTCCACCGGCGCACCGCTGCCGACGCGCCCGGGCCGAGACGACGGCCGCCGACTGGCACCGCTCGCCACGCACAGCTCGGCCGCGCCGGCCGGGCTGCCAACTGCGGCCGCCGGGGCTGCCAGATGGACCGACGGGCCGCCGCCGCCGCGCGACAGGCCGGCCCGTGATACCGGCTGCCGGCGACCCGCCGCGCCGGCACACGTGCAGGCATGCGGGCCCGCTCAGCCGGCTTCACAGCCGACACACGACTTTGGGGGTTCGATCTGTGTGCCACGGGGTTGTCAGAGAAAAGTTACATTGGCTAGAGAGACCCTAGAATCTAGATGTTTATTTCTCTGTGACCAGCAACTGGTTAAGGTTAAAAGACGAGGCAGGTGAGATAAAAGCCATTGCGAGAAACACGCGTTATTAAACCGGTCACAGGATACCGTTTAATGGCCAGCTGCTTTATAAATGGCTGACTAGGAAGACATGACGTGGCCGTTTTGTAATAAACGCCGAGTGTGGTAAATCTAACAAAAAGTTAGATTAGGTGGTTGATATTAAATGGATGGTGTTGCTGGAATCGTAAATATTTTATTGGGTCTCTGACTCTCTGATCACGTGTTATCCTTTCACCTCCAAACAGTTAGCATGACTTATGTGGAAATCAGCCCACATTATTTGGCAAAATGAATTGAGATCTTGGACATCACTCGTAGATCTCATTTGTATCAGCCCATAGCCTGCGAAGTGCAGGAACTAGACCATATCAGCATATTGCGTTAGACGGGGGTCATCGTTAGAAACTGAAGATGAGGTGCCAATTAGGGTAGAAATAGTTGCTTCAGTCCAGGTGGAAGACAATGAAAATCTTTGACCTACAACGACGGTGGGTGGGCGTTATCAATCTGACTTTCTCATCAGAATCCATTGGCAGCGTCACGAACCAAGGTGTTAACCTTTTATCTTGCGGTCGTATCTTAGATCACGATCCTTACAGATGCTGGGTGCTGTTTGTCATGTTTTTACGAGTACACGGCCAGACTGGTTTTTGATTCACCTTTTTTGTATCGATTCAATCATTGATTCATTTGATTTTTGTTTGATTCAATCACCGTTTGATTCCTTCAAAAAATTTGGTGAATCGATTCTTTTTGATTCAGAGAATCGAAAGACAATAAAAGGAATGATTCACGTTTGATTCAGCCAACATTTTTTTGAATGATTCTTTTTTGATTCAATTAAAAAATAAAATACAAAATATCTAAATAATAATAATAAATATCAAAATAATAAAATACAAAATATCAGGGATAGTATTGTATTTGTTGTGTTCTTTTTGTTGTCATGTAATGGCAGTAGTGTCAATATTTGTTGATAATGAACTATGTTCGTTCACTTCAATTTTTTTAAGTTCATGAATCATTAATTTTTTTATTCAATCAACCCTGATTCCCAATGCGTTTGATTCAATCATGGCTTGTGAATCAAACAATCCTGACGGTGAATCAAACCTTTTTGATTCAACAAATTTTGTTTGATTCAATCCAATCGATTCAATCACAGATGAATCAAACACCAGTCTGTATACGGCACAAATATTCGCACAGCCTTGAGGCGATCGGAAAGTTATGTCATCTGTCGCAAGTCATGAACGCTGTTCACTTTACGTAACAGACGATTGGATATGAAAATGGAGAGTAAAATTAACCCGCGCCGGGCCGGTGCTCCGCGACTTCCGCGCCGGGCCGGGGGGGGGGGGGTGTCTGAACATCCTCCCGTCTAACTCGGCTCCTGGGCCACGTAGCGACACGCGGTAGGGGAGAGTGGGGCTAGTTGTTACAGGGGTAAGTTGTTACAAAGGAAATATCTTAAAAAATACTCTTGATATGGCGCCAATATTTACGCTAGCAGAAAGGTTACGCACATTTTACATGTCACTGCAGGCTCAGACCTGGTAGAACGCCATGTCGCCCTGTAGGCACACTGGGGTAAGTTGTGACAGCAAAAGTAGTTTTTGCTGGCCAACACTTTGGGTCGATTTTTGTCAAGGTTATTTGTGTAAGAATGTTGAATGTACATATGTTCACAAAATTAAGCGATGATTTCTTTTGTAAGATCACCAAGTAAAACGCACTAGCCTCTTCATGTAAACAAACATTTGAGTTCAGTCTTGTGAAAGTCGACCGCCGCAGGGCCGGGGCATGTTTAAAGATGGCTACCCAAGACTGCTTATAGCGTGCTCCATTTCACCTGGGCGTAAATTTCGTGCAGAAAATCAAACTCCGGTCAGTATGGCAATGCATGGTGACTTGGCGTCGCAGTAAAGGCAAATCAGAGATTGAGCCATGTTTGATGAGCCTTTTCATGCGTGTGGAGTACAGTAATGGTTTATGCTTTATTGTTCTTGCCTTTCAATGAGAAAGGAAAGCATGTTTAGTATTAGGTATCCATTAGGGAGGCTTACGATCGGTTCCGATAGGACGGCCAATGACCGTTATAATGATGAAGAAACTACGAAAAAATAAGTGTAACCTGTTACCCCATATCGTGTATCAAGTTGCCCCACAATTTTTCAACTTACCCCAAAAATCTTGCTTTGGTTTTCTGAATTTCACATAAAAGTGAATAGTCGTAAAGAAGTGAAAGTTTGCATGTGCTTTCCAAATTGATTCAGCTAGCATGTGACCAAATTTGGTGCAATTTCATTGAATAGCTTGGCAACTAAGTGCGGAAGACCAAAAAGTGTAACGCATATCCCCACTCTCCCCTAAGCGGCATTCGAAAAAATGTCAAAAATAATGACGGAAACACTTCTGTCATTTTTGGGTCAGGGGCCAGTTTTACCAACAGAAAAATAACCGCCTGCCGGAATTTTTTGCCAAGAGACCGCTTCACATGCATAGCGTAAACAGTAGGGCCCTATCCGCTTACATGCCCATCGCGTTTACGCTTTTTATGTAAAGCGGTCTTTAGAGAAAAAAAAATCCGGCAGGCGGCTATCTTTCTGTTGGTAAAACTGGCCTCAGGTCAAAGATAAGGTCGCTAGAAGTCATCAAAGGTCAAATTTAGTCCATTTTAACAATTTTGGAAACTGCCAACGGCTAACAGCGCAGCAGAAAAGCGCATTCCATAGCCCTTTTACAGGCCTTTCTGAGTGCTGTTCTCAGATTTGACCTCAGGTCAACGGTTTAGCCTCCAGAGAGCAAAAACTCCCAAAATAGCAGTTTTATGAAAAAAAAACGTTTTTTCTGCAATAACTTTTGAGTCAGGACAATTGCATTTATTTTACCAGAAACGTGTTCCTCTCGTCGAAACGCGACAAATGAACTATATTTTAACGGCCATGTTGAAAATTGGACCTTAGGTCAAGGTCACGACCTGACCGGAAAAGGTCATGTTGCATATCCGACATCCGTCGATCCATATCGTCGAGCTGAACACATCTGAGGTGTTAACATCACTCTAGCATGTATCTACCAAGACCTTTTCTTAAAAAAAAATTGCTGGGGACCTTCATGACCTGTAATGACCTCAGGGACACAAGGAGAGGTCACGGGTGCTATTTTTCGATTCAGCTTGTCAAGTTTACCTGTAACTCGATGTTAGCGAGTGTTTGGAATGACATCCGTCCAAAAGAGGCTCTTTTCAATTTTCTTCCATTGACTTATAATGGAGAGGTCGCAAAATTGACCTGAACTTAGGTCACCGATATCAAAGTTCCGAGATATGCAACTTTTTATGCTGATACCCTTATGCAATATGCCGAGTTTCAAACTTCTGGGATGTTAATTGTACGAATGAGAGAATCAATTTTTAGAGGCATGGTCACCTAACATGACCTAGTGACCTGGCCTTACTTATGTGACTTGGGGTAAAAAAAAAAATCACGCACGATGTGAAACTGATGAATCATTAGCTATATTAACACTCGCCGGCACAGGCCATTTCGCGTCCTTCGACGGCACAAGGGGGGCGTTGGGGGGGGGGGGGGGGGGGGGTACGACCCCCTCGCGTTTGGCTTCTGATCGAGCTAGAGCTTCGCGGAAAAAACGAGCGTGTTGCCCGTCACGAGAGGAAGCCGATGATACCCAATTTTAAGGTCCTAGGTCATCGGGTGACCTTCCAGGTCAGGTCAATGACCCGAAAACCGGGAAAATCGGGACCTGTTAGAAAGTCGTAAAGTGTGGCTGCTGTGTGGTTTTTCGGGGTGCTGATCACGAATATCGTGTTAGTTTTGATCAGAGATGATGTTTTTAAGCATTTAGTCCAGGTCGGGTCAGGTCAGGTCAGGTCAACCGGTAGGGGTTTTGACGGGTATTCGTAATACGTGTCAACCGCCTCTGACAGCTTCGTAACATGTTACGAAGGCACCAAAACTACTTCGTAAATGTTCAAATGGTTGCTAAATTCGAATTCAGCTAAAAAAAACTAGCCTAAAAACATGTAAAACTCGAAAAAGTGAGCCGAGGTCGCCCGAGGTCACCAAAGGTCAATGACCTGACCTGACCTTCAGGTGACCTTGACACCCACCCTAATGTATGGGAGCAACATCAAATCACATGTTTGAAGGTTTGAAACCACGAAAAGCTTGCATACGCGCGGCTAATGCGAGCCGACATACGCCGAATTGCGATTTTGGCCAAACATGGTCACGGAAAAGAGGTCACAGGTCAAAGGTCATTGGGGTCAGGGTCATGAAATTTTCAGGGAACGTGTAAAATCGATCAATGCGAGGGTACTGAAAGTTTCGTCCCCCCCCCCCCCCCTGTGCCGGCGAGGGTTAAGTTTTGCGGCACTGAGAGCCGTAGTTTTCTTTGCGCATGCAAAAACAAAAACTAAAAAAAACTGGCAGCTGTGGCCAAAAATTACACCCCCCCCCCACTCGGACGAAGGTTAAGGTGACCCCCTTAAAAAATTTGCAAATGACTCGGAGCTTACTTCTTCCTGGAAGTTTCATCTCCTAACGAAAATTCCCTGGCACCGAGGACTTTGCAAAGTTGCGACATGACGTCAAAATGAATGTGAGCTTATAATTTTAGGGATGGCCCTGTGACCTGCTCATGAGTGTTGTTTT